TATGCATTTTAGCATAGTAACCCCCTCATCGCAGTTGTCGAGATTCGAACTCGGGATCTAACTCTTGTGACACTCCCTTGTTACTAGTTGAGCTACGCTCACCGTAAGTCAAAGTGATATACAAAATGGAACAGATGCAGTATATTGAAAGCTTGGGATCTTTACAAAGATTGTAAATTTTTATGAGGTGACATAAAAACATCGATTTCAAATTTAATTAGGATGCATTGGAGATGGGAGTGGTTTTAAATAGATTTGACAAACCTTTGGGAATCGTAGTCAAATTAAATTAAAAGATTTAGTTCTCACTAAAATTAGTCTGAGAAATTTGTCATTTTTCTAGTAAAGTAAATAATTTGAGGTTCTGCTCAATTTTCTCTCTCCTACATAAACTTCAACTACATAATTTTTACTTTTTTATTTGTCACCTACTTTGAACTTGGAAAAATCCAATATTATTTAAGTCGTCAGTGTTATCATTTGAAAGTTATGTATTTTAAAGCTTATCACCTTTTTTGGATCATAAAAACCGCACATTAACATTAATAAAATGTGCGATTGTATAATTGATATTCTAGTTCTAGACAAAAATAGTAAAGTAATGGGATATAAAATGGCAAAAAACAGGATGGAAACTATTAATTTTAAAATACCTACCGATCCACCATATGTTCATTATTTTTTTTATTAATGTATACGGAGTAATATATTATATTATCATTAATTTTTATTATTGGTAGCAAACATTATCTCAACAACTTATTATCTACCTGCAGGCAGCATTGCCACAAGGGATTGTCCCCTTCGTGTTTGCTAAAGAGTACAATGTCCACCCACAGATTCTCAGCACAGCGTATGTGATTAATTACTAATCCAGATTAAATTAATTCCCTTAATTAACACGTGTTTAACCACATAATTTAATTCATTTTGTGCAAATTAATTGACAATTTATTCGGGAAATCCGTTTCAGGGTTATTTTCGGGATGCTGATTGCGCTACCAATCACGCTAGTCTACTACATTATTCTCGGACTATAGTGGTATCCCGTTTGGACCGGACATATGAGAATGGATCCCGGGTCAATATGTAACTTCAGAAATGGAGATGGGGGATTTTAATTTATTTTTGTTCCAATGAAGCTGCATTGTGAAATATAGCTCTAACAGCATGTGTGTTCGGGAGAAACTATGAAATAAAAAATGAAAAAACTAGTAGTGATAAATTAATTAATTAATTAGTATTAGTAGCTATGCATGTAAATTTTCAAAAAGCCCTTGAAGATATTTTGACTTAGTTGAAGGGTTCGATGGCCGTAATTGAAGGGTGCATGATTGCTCCATTTTCACAACTTGAGGCAAGCCAAACGAGGACTAGTCTAGTGGAGAGGGGACAAGAAAAGAGCAAAACAAGGAGGCAAAAGAGTGATGTTGCTACTTGTTACCATGTATGGTTATTATTATTATATTATATGTTACCTTTTTTTCTTCATCTTCCTCTTAGTTAATAGTAGTCATTAATTATGCTTGTAAAGTGTAGAATTTTGAAAACATTTCCAACTAGTTATTGAAAATTTAAATGAAATCTGTTTTGACTTTTTGTGTTTGTTTGGTAGCTTATGACCCTATACCGTGCAACCGGTGCATGGTGAGCATTGTGCTCCCATGGCTATATGAAATGTAATTCGTGTGATTTCACATGTAACTTCAAGTTAATCAAAATGTAAATTACACACATTCACATGTAACTCGTTTAAATGTAAACTGTTTTAATAGAATTGTAACTTGAAACCAAATTAGATGTAACTTGGGATATGTAACTTTAGACAAATCTTGATGTAACTTGAGTATACCCAACATGTAAATTGAGGAAGATATAAAATAATTCATAATACTATCTTCTTCGTTCAAATAGACAGCGGGAAGCGAGTGAAGACCTCCGGCGGATGTGGCGGCAGGACTTCTTTTCTGATGGCGGTGGCGTCACACGATGGCTCTCCGGGCGAGCGATGGCGTCAACAACAGTTTGGTCTGCTGGATGCAACCTTCCCTCTCCGGCGAAGTTTCCCTTCTCCTTTGGCGACTCTGCTATGGCCGGTGCTTGGTGATAACTCCAACCCACTTCTACGATTGTTCAGATCAGATTTCCGTTCTCTCGACCTCTCTTCCTTTCTTCTGTCTTGTCCCTTTTTCTTTCCCGCAAGTTTTTTAGGGATCGGGCACACCATCCTCATGGTGTGCCGGTCGTAGGGTATAAATTGCGGCTTATGATTTATCTTTTAGAGCATCTATATACTTCGTATAGAACCGGTGTTGATTTTAGGAATTTTTATTAGAATATTATCGAAATAAAAGGTTACATTAATGTGTAAAAGTGAGATAAAAGTTATGAGTATCAAGTTGTGGTTACTACTACTATATATGCACTATAAAATTGAACACAATTAATAATAGTCATTGAAAGTTAATTATGCAGTTAATTTATGAGGTTACCTTTGTAGGACTGGATTCAAATAAGAAGAAGTCATTATTTGAGAAATATGAATGAATCTCAATTGTTGGATTCAATTATGTTGCAGTAAAAACACACTTCATATTGCATTCAAAGATGCAATCTAGCACGATTACATTTTCGTAATTATTTTTGAAATATTCGTGTTACATTTGTCTAGTTCGACGCAAAGGTGTTTTGGTGAACAATTGTTAAATATTAGTGCAACATTGTAAAATTTAAATCCTACTTTAATATGAAGTAATTTTTAGTGTAATAATATTGTAAATTTAATGGTTGAAATTGATTTTCATTTCTCACAATAATTACATGCATTTCTTACTTGAATCAAAATATACATTTGTATTCATTATCTTTAGAGAAAATTCCCATTTCATGAGTAAAGCATATCAACAATGCAAAGATAGGACTCCAATCTCCACCTATAGTTTGACACACGGAATTTAATAGTACGAGACAAAAGTGCTCTTCATTAAAACTGATTTCTTTATTGATAATACTCCCTCCGTCCCTTAAAACTTTGTCAACTTTCCTTTTATGGATGTCCACTAGTCCAAAAACTGCATTTTATAACCAACATTTTATATGGGTTAGTATACAACCGTGATAGTATGTAGGCGCGGGGTTAAAATTGCAATTTTTGAAAGTTTATACCTTACGTTGGGCGTTAATAATACACACATTCTATAACGGATAGTAAAATAACCGAAGTTAAATATAAAAACGGGGTCATATTCATAATATTTCAAAATGTATGCAGGTGAAACGGGGTTCATTTTATAAAATTGAAAACTACGGAGTATTATTAATGTCAGTGAGATATGTTGCCCCTTATTAAAAGTATTTGATTTTTATTCTGACCGCCTGAGTCCTGACCTACGACAAAAAAACAAAGGATGAAAATTTCCCGCTCCTGAAGACCTAGCGGAGCTACAAGAAGATGTACGGTGCTGCAATACTCGTCCTCTAAGGTGACTTCCGGCTGCTCCTTCGCCAGTGATGACGCTCTATCCTCACGCCAAATACCGTATCATTACTCGTCATCTCTCTCCTTGTTGCCTAGCGTCGGTTCCACATCAGTAGTTATCAGTCTCTCCTCACCATTGAACGTCATGTCCACATCCGTTGCAGCGGGCTCTCTCATCTCTGCAGAATTCCGCTTCTACATCTGCATCCACAGACTCAATCTACAACATATCTTCTACTCTATCTAGGTAAAAACCAATATTTTGCTGCACACTAATTATGCAATTATTGGGTATACATTTTTGTGTTTTCATATACACATTTGTTTGCGGTTGGTTTGGTTCCTTCATATTTGATGTTTAGCTCATATACAAAATGAAATAATAGGGCTAAGAAATTAAATTTGTAATGCTTATCATCTGTTTGTAAAATTTCCTGAATGATGTTAACTAATTTGGATAGCACACATTCTCATTACACATAATATAGCATTCAGTTTGCAGTTTATGAGTCAAGTGTTCATACATAATGTAGTTTATTATTTCAGTTTGCAGCTTATAATTGTTTGATTATATTGTGTTATTTGAAGGGATAAAATCAATGCTACTATGTCTTATGTAGGAAAAAAAATTACATTTCAGCTTCTAATTTTTTTTCCTGACAAAGATGTTACATGAACCAAGTCAGAACAAAGTCAGAACAAACTTTCTCAAGGTTTTTTCACATTTTTTGATGACAGAGTGATTCTGATTTTGTGCTCTTGCTCCTGTGGCTCTTCCAGCCCATGTTTTGTTGTCTTAACCGCCTTATAAGTCATAACTAGAGGCTATTTACTTCCGAATATAGGATTATTCAATCAAGCCTGCAATTTGTTCATTTCAGTTTGCTGTTTATTAATATATCCTTTTGTTTCAGTTTGCACCTTATTAATAATGTAATTTGTACATTATTGATATTTCAGTTTGTTCTTTATTGTTTTGAATTTCAGTTTATTTAATCAAGGCTGCAATATGTTCATTTCAGTTTGAACATGGTAATTCTTAATTTGATATTCAAATTCATCCACTGTATCTTAATTATAGTCTATATCTTAATTATAGTCTATGAGTCTATCAAGCGTTTTGAGTGACCATTTTGGTTCAAACAGCACGATATAGTTTGATAACTGAATGATGTTATTGTATCCACTTCTATTCCAATTTCTTTTTCTGTATTTCATCTATTTCTTGTTTCGCTGAAGAACAAATCAATTAATTATCTATATTTCTGTTTCTTTTCCGATTTCATCACCCTATTGTCAACTCTCCTCTCTATTTTTAATTTACTCACTTTCTTCCAAAACCTTTTATTCTGTTTCATTTGTTTTGTTTTAAAAAAAATCACTGCAGGATCTGTTACTCTGTTTTTTGTTTGATTTTGATTGGCATATACTAGGAATTAATATGAATAGAACTATGAGATTGTTACTTGGCTTGAAATTTCTATATTCAAAATTTTGATTTTGATGCTAGATTTGATAATGATGCTCATTGGTATAGAACAATCCAGCGAAGATAAAGGAACGCAGCTACCCTGCCGCCGCGATGATCTGCGAAGACGGATGAACACGCAAGAAGCTCCTCCACCGCCACTCGATGGATGACCCGCGAAGATAGACGACACACAAGACGTTCTGCCGCCGCCGCTCTCCATGGATGACCCGCGAAGATAGAGGAACATGCACGATGCTCTGCCTCCGCCGCCGGTCTCCATGGATGACCCCCCTTACATCATTAGCCGCTGGTGATCAATCACCTGAGATTAACGCCTCTGAAGCCACATCTCGGTAAAAACACATTTCCTTGCTATATTATATACGGAGTATATACTACATATTTAATATTTTCTTGGATTCTACTTATGTACTTTCTTCTTCTTGTTGTGTGTGTCCATTTGCTAAATTTTAGATGAAATTCAAGAAGTTTAGTTTTGAGCTTTTTATTTTTTTACTTGCCTATAAGATGTATGTAAAAATGTCTTTAATTTTCAAATGAACGTGGTTTCAAAATCTCATTCTTGTAGGATTAAGCTAGGAAGAAGAACAATTATTCAGCAATCTTCACTAATGTGATTCTTTTACCTTCGTAATTATATATAATAACCACACAATAATAATACATTTCTTTAGCCATTTAACTTTCCTTACTGTCCATCTTATATTTTTGAATGCAGCGATTAGTTATGACACTGACTCAGCTTCGGTAGGTATGAACTATGAGATTGTTACTTGGCATATACCAGGGCTCCTAACTTCCTAACCAAGAGAGAGCCTTAAGGCCTAAGGCCCAAAAAACTGCCCACCCACCCCTGTTCTTATGATTAGTATGCTTTTTTGGAATATCTTTGGGATTGGGAACACCCAATCCACTAACAGGTTAAACCTTCTTTGTAAAACTTATCATATCAATTCTCTTGCTATAATTGAACCTAAGACTAATTCCAGTAATCTGCATTCTAAAATGATCAATCTCGGCTTTTCAAACTCTTTTGCCCATTCTCTCAATAAAATTTGGGTACTTTGGGACCGTTCCTACACTGTTAACATTATTTCTGATCTCTCTCAGTGTGTTAATCTTTCTGTTACTAATGTCCATATGAATCAAACCATTTATATCTCTGTGGTTTATGGTGCTAATAGCAAAATTACTAGAAGAACCTTGTGGATGAACTGTCTAATTTCAGAAACAACATTGGGAATCAACCTTGGATCCTGGGAGGTGATTTCAATGTTATTAGAAACATGAATGAGTACAAAGGTAAAAGTGTCCTGAATACTAGTGACATGGAGGAGTTTAATGATTTCATTTTTGCTAATAGTCTGTCTGACCTTAACTTTCAGGGTACTCCCTTCACTTGGATGGGGAATAGGATGAATGGTCTGGTGTTTAAAAAATTGGATCGAGTTATGGCTTCTAATGAGTTATTTCAACTCAACAGGAACCTAACTCTTAAAAAATTAAATAAGTTTGTTTCTGATCATAATCCCCTGCTTCTTCAAGAAAATCCTGTCCCTAACTCTGGCCCCAAAAGCTTTAGATTTTAGCATATGTGGATTAAACATCACTCTTTTCTTGAAACTGTTAGAGCTTCTTGGGATTCTCGTTGTGATGGTTATGGCATGTGGCTTTTTTCTAAAAACTTAAAAGGCTTAAAAGTGAGCTTCATGACATTTTTGGAAATAGTTTTAATCAACGGTCTGAAGCTGAAACCCAAATTGAGATTCTTGAAAATAGGACCTCTGATTCCCTATCTGAGGAAGATTACCATACCTTGAAACATGCTCAGGCTAGATACATACAAGCCTCAACCGACATTATTTCTTTTTATAGGCAGAAGGCTAAAGTGAAATGGCTAAAGGATGGCGATGCAAACACAAGTTTTTTCCATCACTCCTTAAAAGCCAAACATCAAAAACTCAGTATTCATAAAATTAAACTGGAGAGTAGTTCTTGGATTTAGAATAATGATGATATCAGTAGTGCTGCTATTACTTTCTTTACTGGACTTCTTACTGCCAATGTTGCTGCTACTGACTCTCTTGACCCTTGCAGTTACCATAGCAATATCACTCCAGTTATTACTACCGCTGATAACGAGAATCTCATGGGACCAATTACTACAAAGGATCTCAGAAAAGTTGTCTTTGGTCTGGACAAAAACAGTGCCCCTGGCAGTGATGGTTATGATGGTTTGTTTTATCAATACGCTTATGATATTATTGAGCATGACTTGTTTATTGCTATGAGTGAGTTTTTTCTGTGGAGTTCCTATTCCTAAATCTATAGTTTCAACTATTATGTTGATTCGTATAAGTTAGTGATGGCCTTTTATTTGTGTTTATATAAGCAACTAAATTAATCACTGTTTTAATCAGGACATCATGATTATCATGAAGCTTTATTTTCAAGTGGTGCAACTTTTTTCCTTTTCTGTTGAACATGAGGTGCATGTCTATCAAGAGACGGGCGTCTGCTCTCACAGGGTAAAGGAGAACAATGGAGACTAAGCCGTTGAAAATGTCATGTAGAGTTGGCCTGGTCTCGTTTCTGCTCGTGGATGAACAAACAGTAAATCACAATGCTTTTGTTTGAAGTTGTCAATAGTAAGTTAGTAGTAATCTAGAGTTGGCCAGTGATCTTGCTACAATAAAGTAGTTATTGTACTAAATACTTCTTTGTGTTGTGTGTTGCTATGTTATTTACTTTTGATTTATGTATTTCGGTTGTGCAAATGATTCTATTGTTCGTTTTGTTTTGAATTAATAAATGTAAAGAATTGGGCTAGGGGTTGCATACATATTTCTCATTAATTTGTAGACAATATATATTTTTAGTATGAATTAGAAATTTTATTATGTAGCAAATTTAAATAAAAACATTACATTTTGAAATATAAAATCACTTATATATATAAGTGACAGAAAATGCGATTATTTTTTTTTTAAAAAAAATTGACTTTCTATAACGGTTGGTGGTTTAACTCATATAAAAAAGATTTTATATGAGGTATTACTGAACTGACACGGAAAACATTCTATAACAGTTAAATTCGTAACCGTTATAAAATACATTCTATAACGGATACGACTACCCGACACGAAAAGTGCCCGACTTTCTATGTCGTTGGCTTCTATGTCGTTACGGGAACCGACATAAAAAGTGATTTTTAACCCATATAAAAAGTGTTTTATACACTAGTGGTCCCACTAATTTGACACTTTTCTTTTTAAGTAAAGAATTTGTGGTTCCAGTTCATTCTCTCTTATCTGCACAAATCTCAACCACACAGTTTTTACTTTATTAATCCCCGTGCCGGTCAAACTTGGCAAAGTTTTCAGGGACGGAGGTAGTATAAAACAGACTAACAAAATTACAGAGGACAACACAACACATATGCTCCGCACAGGACATATCCTTCGCACAGTGCATTAGTTATCTCTGGCGCTACCAGCGTCGCCACCATCTCCGGTGTCACACCTCTAGAGCTTACGCCATCTCCGGCGTTATTTACCAAACCAAGTCTGATGTTACGTGAATCAAATGAAAAATCTGGATGATGTTTGTCAAACTTTTCCCATGCTTCCCCATTAGCCGGATGTGTCAATTTTCCATCTCTCATAGGTTCTTCTTCATGCCACCTTAATGAGCTAGCCAGGGGCGTATCCCAGGTGGGGGCAGGGGGTAGCGATGGATTTAGGGGGGCGCGGTCGCCCCCCTTGGAATTTTTTTAGTATATATATGTAGTATTCTTGTAATTTTTAAATTTTACCTAGATCCAAATATTGAAAATCACCCCTCTTAGGTCATAGAAAATTTTCAATTACCTTATAAGGAAAAATAAAAATTAGGATTATCCATCAAACATAAGATTTTAAAAAATATGTGATAGAGTATATAGACTCGGACCCCCGGGTCTCACGATTATTGGACCCGGACAGCGGCCCACATACGCTCAGTAGATAGCATTTATTTCATTGTACACTCTATTTTATTCATGTATACCCGTTAGAATAGATTAAATACCATTTGTTAGCCATTTATTGGCCTTTTATTGTAAATGGGCCTTCCAGACCCAAGCCTGGGAGCCCAACCCACTTTTCTCCTATAAATACTCCCTAAAGGAGTCATGTAAAGGGTTGGAAATTCATTATATATATCACTTTATCTCTCTAGCTCTCCCTTCTCTCTAGGAGTTAATACTCCATCAAATGGTGCTTTCATTGAGAGCTAGAACAAATCAAGTGAGACCCTCCCAACCCATAAAACCAGATGTTAAGTAGGCACTCCGGCCCTAGTGGAGGAAGCATGCCACCTATCCTTGCATGACATGTACTCATCTCGGCCAAAGGGAAGAACTCCCACCAGGCCACCACCCATCGGCCAACAGGACCCAAAACAAAAGAAAAAGCCTAATGGCAGAAAGTTGGTGGGACCCTTAGCCCATGACCTTAATTAAAACCCCAGCAGGAAGTGCCTCCTCTGCACAAGCTTTTTTGGTCATGCTAACAGGTGGGGAAGTAAGGCCTCGGCCAAGTCCACATGTCGGCCAAATATCACCTGGGCTCAAGTGAGGCAACACCATCGGTCAGACCACTGAAGTAATTTCCTAAGAACAAAGCCGAGAGCTTCACCCTTCATCCTGGGAACGCCATCTTCCTCGGCCAAGCAACAAAACACACCATCGGCTCAAATAGGGAAAGGCAGTCCCTAAGTCCCTTCGGCCAAGGAAAGCTAGTCGGCTCCACCATCAAACAACGCCCCCCTCGGCCAAGGTGAACAGAAAAGAGGGGAACAATAGAGCAACAGTAGTGCTCCATCCCTCGGCTAAACTGCAGAAATCACTCAAAACAGGACGCCACTTCGTCCTAATTGGGGAAGCATGTCCACCGATGGTCGTCTACGCCCGAACACTTCCCTTGGCCAGGACTTAACAACGACCAAAAGGAGGCAAGCTTCGGCCAGACCAGAGGTCACATATCGTCCCTCGTCCAAGTGGGGGTACCCCTGGATCCCCTCGGCCAAACCTGAACAGGGGGAGAACAGCTCCCACCTCGGCCAATAGCTCCCACCTCGGTCCTGTGTGCAGCAGTCCTCGGACAAATGGGGCCTCATTTTTGTAGCAGTCTCTTCGGCCTACGCAGTTCGAACGGTAAAACAGCGACATTGTCGGCCAAGAAACACCGTCGTCATCCAGCAACACCGTCGGCCAGAAATCACACGTCGGCCGGAAGACAACTCATCGGCCAGCACCTCATCGACGGGCACACAACAGGGGGCCTCGCATCGGACAACACATGTCGGCCACGACTCCTTCACCTTCAGCCAGTCAAAATCAAAGCCACCCCGGTCAAGCAACGGACCCCCTGCAATGGCGACGTAAACATCGACCACATCGACGAACCTTCGGCCAAGGTAGGGGCCCTCATCGTCCCTGGTTTTCATCAGTGGCCAAATAGGCAGGCCACCGGACGGAGGGGGACCCTCGTCCACCCCATCGTCCTGGTTCCCGTCGGCCCCAAATCAAAGACCCGTCGCCCAAATTGTGGCCTCTTGGCGAGACGACGGTGTGCTAACCACGCAACCTGGCCCGGACACAACCTTCCACCTTGGCCTCGCGACGGCCGACACAGTCGGGTTGATTCAGGCAGGGATGGCGGGGATCTCCTCATCCACAAGAGACACCGGCAGGCGGCGACATAGGACTGGAATCAGCTCCCCCTTGCGAGCACGCTCTTCCCTGCGGGTGAAATTGGCCATTGAACGGGTCTTGGGCTGGCTATTGTCTCAGCGACTTTATTCCTAAAGGGCAGGCCCAATCAATTATCTCCCTGGCGGGCTGGAATTCTAAGCACCACAGGCTTCGACCCAAATAAAAGGTAAGTGCCACTAAACTTTCCTCCTATTTTATGCATTAAATATGGAGTCAAATAGTCTTACTACTATTAAAAAATATATATAATAGTCGTATTACTATTCCGGAAAAAATAGTTTTATTAAGTATTCAGAAGAAAATTGAAATAATAAATAATTACTACTATTATTATCACCACCATTCCTAGCCGGTTAAGATCCCCAAAGTGGTGAACCCGATCTCTGGTCTACCGAACATCTTTATTTGATGATTCGGATTATATTTAGGTCCCTCGACCTACCCTAGTCACCTTTACTTAGTGACTCGGACATCTAAAAATGAGAGCCGCTACCGGCCGCACATGGCATTATGCCCGAGAGCGGTAAACGGTACACCTCGTTCTCCGAGACGCTAATCGCGTCGCCCAAAAGCCGTTGCCATGAACAACGCACCTATTGTATTCCGCTTATTTTTTGGAAATGTAAATAGAAGATACCATGTGTCGTATCAGCAGCCTTCGAGCGAAAGGCTCAGGTCTGCTCCACTTTGTATTTTGTATCAGCGAAGGGCTCAGGCCTAGCTGAGAGAGCACATCGTCCTGGCCCCGTAAGCCTAGAGTGAAACGCTCAGGTATGGCCGACGATGTCCCCAGGACGAGGGGCCCGCAAACGGCCCGCGTCTTGAAATGGGAAGTTCACCGCGTCATCCACGCGCCAGATCGCAGGACGACAGGCCTGAAATCATGGCCGAGGTGGCAGAATCCCACCACTCAAGGTTGGGCAACGGCAGCCGTTGGAAACCAACCAAAAGTCTAGCCCGCGTCATAAATAGGCGACGGGACCCCCCTGAGATCACGGACGTTATATACGAAGTCCGAACCGGCCGAAGGACGAGCACACCCTTCGGCCGAAGCCTGAAAGAAGGATACTCCCCGAAATAGGGAACGGAAATGGAAATAAAAAAAAAGAGAAAAGGAAAAAGAAAAAATAAAAGAGGGAAGCCGAGGACCGCGCGCACTCGCCGTCCTCGAGCAACAAAAAATGAAATCCCCACAACAATACTAAGTACATATCAGGCAAATACTACACATTATGGACGAAGCAAGACCATACATGCGGATTAGACGAGCGCCCGGTGCCGTCCCTCATCTTAGACGAGCGCCCAACGCCGTCCTCCATTTGTAGACGAGCGCCCAGCGCTGCCCTCATTTTCAGACGAGCGCCCAGCGCTGTCATTCATTTTTTTAGACGAGCGCCCAGCGCCGTCCCTCATTTTCAGACGAGCGCCCAGCGCCGTCCTTCATTTTTAGACGAGCGCCCAGCGCCATCCCTCATTTTCAGACGAGCGCCCAGCGCCGTCCCTCATCTTAGACGAGCGCCCAGCGCCGTCCATCATCTTAGACGAGCGCCCAGCGCCGTCCTCCATTTGTAGACGAGCGTCCAGCACCGTCCCTCATTTTCAGACGAGCGCCCAGCGCCGTCCACCATCTCAGACGAGCGCCCATCGCCGTCCATCATCTGAGACGAGCGCCCAGCGCCGTCCATCATCTTAGACGAGCGCCC